TTCAGATACTCGTTCAGATTATTGATTATTGAGGTGGTGATCGCGGAGGGAGCCCGAAGAAGCAGTGGGCATTGTTTCTATCTTCCCCACTCTAAGTCTTTCCTCCCTCTCATCTATCTCGTCTGTGTATGTCTCCTCTTCTCTTGGGTATCTGGACTCGAATACGATTATTGATAATCATCAACTGGTTGACACTGATATGGACTTGCATTGTTGACAACTGTCTTCACGATTTGGGTTCATTGCAATTTGGTATCGGAGCATTTCTCTTGACGACGACAGTCACACGTGCGCACGCGCCAGGTGGCGCGCAGGTAAGTGGGCATGCACACGTGTGCTAAGGTAGTGATGACTTGACAAGAAGTTACCGCCGGAGTTGCTGACGTGGTAGAGACTTCACTGGTGAGAGAAGATCCTAACGTGGTTGTTGACGTGGCAGTAGGGACCGCGACCGAGAGTTACCGCGCGCCAGCCTGGATCGCGATAGAGAAGTGGCATCGTGATCCCCTTGCTGACGTGGCATATCATGTGCCGCGTTTGAAGACCTGGTTGTTGGTGATTGCTGACGTGGCATTCTCACGCTGCATTAGCAGCTTATGCACGACCAGGTCTATTACAGAAGCTGACGTAGCCTTGGGAAAGTATGGACTGACTGCTGACGTGGCAGGGAAGAAGTCATCACACTGTCTTCTTGAGGTGTTGAGTTCCTGCTGACGTGGCATCGGTATCCATTGGCTGACGTGGCATTGTCCAATTGGTTGGAATGGCGACGATATCACGACACGACGCATGGAAGTGGCACGTGGAAAGGACGGAGCACACATTTGTTGACGTGGCATCCCTTTATTGATTGACTGGACACTAGTGCTGACGTGGCAGGATCTGCTATCTTAGCGCTCCAGGGATGACATGTGGCAGGCAGGTGGCTGCCAAGTAAGAGAAGCTCTCCGAAGACGACGGTGGTACGACTGCTTGAACGATTGACGAGACAGCTGTAGTGCCAGTTATCAAGGAGGGTGCATCATCGTATTGACACCTCGATGACTCAGCAGGAAGAAGAAGGGTGCTGACAAACTGTTTGTTGTTGGCATACTTACCTCGTCATTTGCTGTGTTGTGGTGCTGTGCGTACTTACTTGTGTGTTGTATCTGATCACACGGGCCTGACGTGGTACCTGTACACTCTCGAATAGGACGTCATCACACAGACAAGAAAAACAGCAATTAGTATAAGTAGAGATCTGTTCCTTTTTATTATTTCTCTTTATTTTTTTGTTCCATTATTGCAAATATTTTATCCAACCTGACCTCCAAGATGTTCAGCATGTGGAAAATACTCTTGCTTCTTTTCTCGATGACGTTCTTTGCGGGCGAAGGATCCTCCGAACCCAAGACTAGGAAACAGGCGGAGACAAAAAAACAAGAGTTACTGGCTCTATGGAACCAGCTAATGAATGATTTGCGTCTATCCGGACCGGACGCCGAACGACACGTTCGTAATCTGTTTGATTTTCAGACGGTAGAGAATCGTCTGAAGCAAGCAATTACGGTCCTGGAAGTTGTGGTTGTCGGGGCCGAAGTGTCTAAAATGATGGCCAAGTGTCGGTAGGCGCTTGACCAGTTTGCTATCAAGCAGCTGGAAGAAGTCATGGAGTCGTCTAGGAAAGGGGAAATCAGACCAGAAGTGACCGAGGCTACGATTGATGCGAATATCCATCAATTAAGAGAGGCGCTGGCTGTAGAAGAAAGGAAGAAAGAAGAACTAGCCCGAAAACACAAACAGGAACTGAGACGAGAACAAAAGGTAAAGGAAATCAGACAGGTAATAGGAACAGAAGATAAGGAATAGACGGACATAACACAAACATTGTATCACATCATGACTTACCTTACCCTCTTGGAAGAAAAAATCGAGAGACAACAAAATCAGTTAGACGAGATTGTTGGAGGATTACGAACTGTCACAAATATTGTGAAAGGGAATAATCCGGTAGAAGGCAAAGAAGAAGAAGGTAAGGAAGATAAGAAAGAAGAGAAGAAATTGATGAGTGACGCAATGAATTCCGTTGTTCGTAAAGATCAGAAGTCGTCTAATGGAGGAGGACCTCCGAGTCCGCCGTCTTCACCACCGAGCTCTCCTCCTCCCTCTCCACCACCAAAGTCTCCTGATTCTCGAAAGTCGCCGGTCAAGGTAAGTGCGGATCCGGAGAAACCGAAAACGAAAGAAAAGGTAAAGATGAAACTGCCTTTCACATTCTGCAACAAAAAAGATGAAAATTTATTGTTATGGATTGCCGAAATTCAGACGTACTGTAGTACGGCCCCTGTTGAACCCGAGTCCCAGGTTGCTTTCTCTACCTCTTATCTTGGGGGGGAAGCTAAAGAATGGGTATTGGCCGAAGCCAATGCAGCGGGGTTCGATGGCATTGGGGAGTGGGCTGCAACCTTGACTCTGAAGCAGTTCCTTGGCAAGATCAAGGAACGCTTCCTGGATAAGACAACGACCGACAAGGCTTTTGACCAGCTCACTACCATTGGTCAAAAACACTGGACCTCGGTAGAAGCTTTGTCTCGGGAAGTTGACCGGTTGCTGCAGGTTCCTGGATTGAACCTGCAAGACAACCAAGTCTTGTACATCTATTCCCGTGCTCTGCCCGAACCCATCCGTGGACAACTTGTGGCAGAGTCTAAATCAGGCAATTACAATTATAGGCAGTTTCGTGATCTGGCTCTCCAACGAGAGCAAATGACTTCGCAAGTTAAGAACTCGTATGCATCTGTTGTCAAGTTTGGTGGTGGTGCAGGTGCAGGAAAGTGGATACTTTGGCGCAAAAAGCGTCAGGACCACACCCTCATCGTCTTTGATGACGATACTGTGGAGAAGTGGCCATTGGAGGCCGAGGGTGTGGCGAGCAGCAATGATTCCGGGAAGGGGGAAGTCACTGTTGTCGTGGTCAACAAGGGAGGACCACGACCGCCAGTAAAGAAGAAGAAGCCATGCTCGTTCCTAGAGCATCTCGGGATTGCGGTCGGGAAACGATGGGAAAAGATGGGAATGTCGCAAGAAACGTGACAGGAAAGAATGGATAATGCACAGTGTGTAAAATGTGGTACCCCAGGGCATGTCATTGCATGGTGCCCACTTATCCGTAACCCAAAAGTGAGCCGCTAGTAGGAGTAGCATCTGCTCCTACTGAGCCTAAGGGTTTGGATCAAGATGAAGGTAAGGCGCCTACTAACCCTTCTAACCCTTTCACTCACATAGCAGAGGATGGTTCTTCTTCGGCCCATCGTCCGGAACACCCTGAGCCTGTCTTATGTATTGTCTCTCTGGACGACTCTCTTGACGAGCTTGGTAACGAGTTGCTAGCATTAAGAAGCTCATGGGCTAAGAAATCGAAGTCTAAGGGTGACCTACTACTCACGGATCTAGAGATTGCACATACACGTGTAGGTGCACTGTTGGACTTAGGATCAGCGCGATCCTACATATCCGAGAACGCAATTCGCAAGTTGCATCTCGGAATGAAGGTAAAAGATCTGTCTCGACCTATCACGTTTATTCTCGCTGACAGACGCACGATCACTATCTCGCAATGTGTTGATCGTGTCAAATGTCGATTTCGCACCAAGGAAGGGAAGAAGATTTTTCACGAGGTATCCTTCCTTGTAGAAAAGAATTTACCCTTTGACTTGATTCTGGGAATGGACTGGGACGAGGAAGACAACCCAGAAATCAAGTTCAAGGAAAAGGTAGTGCTACTGCGAGATGCACACTCGGAATTGAAACCTATCAAACTGTACCATAAGTTTGACTCTGACTCTAGTCTGTCTTTCTGTTGTATGAGTTATCCAGCATTTCGATCGATGGCTTCAAAGAAAAAGTTGGAACGAGAAGTAATGATTGTCTTAGTAAAGAAAGCAGGTGAGTCTTCTACTTCCTATCCTCCTTCGATTGAAAAACTCTTAAACGAGTATAAAGAATTACTAACTGAACCAACAGGAATAACTGAGCGTGCAATTAAGCACACCATTGAAATTATTCCTGGTGGTAAGATTCCCAAGGGCCCTATCTACCGAATGTCTGCTAGGGAACTTGAGGAATTAAAAAAACAATTGCAAGACTTAACAGAAAAATGATGGATTCGCCCAAACTCCTCTCCTTATGGTGCTCATGTCTTGTTTGTACCTAAGAAGGAAGGTGAGTTATGTCGCTGTATAGACTACAGAGGGTTGAATGTCGTCACTGTTAAGAATGTTGAACCGCTTCCTCGCATTGACGACTTACTTGACCAGTTACAGGGATGCCGGTACTTTAGCAAGGTCGATTTGAAATTTGGGTATCACCGGATCGAGGTGGAACCCTCCGATCAGCATAAGACCGTTTTCCGGACCAATTATGGCCACTATGAGTTCGTGGTAATGCCCTTCGGATTAACAAATGCCCTGCCACTTTTCAAAGGTCAATGAATGACTTGTTTCGTCAATGGTTGGATAAGTTTGTCATTGTCTATCTCGATGATATTCTAGTGTACAGTAAAACACTGGAGGATCATGAGAAGCACCTTCGTCTGGTGCTAGGGAAGTTGCGTGAGGGTAACTTTAAGATCAACTCAAAGAAGTTTAAGTTTGCTAAGTCTGAAGTGTTATACCTAGGACACATAGTAAACGAAGAAGGTCTAAGGCCAAAAGAGAAAAAAATATCAACAATTAGAGATTGGCCATAACCTAAGTCTATTACTGAACTGCGATCTTTCCTTAGTCTAGCTAGTTATTATAGGAAGTTTGTCAGAAACTTCTCACTGATTGCTGCACCAATGTGGAAATTGTTAAAGAAAGAAACTATCTGGTTGTGGGATAAGGATTGTGAGTCCTCCTTTCGGAAATTGAAGTATGCATTGACTCACTACCCTGTTCTTAAGATTGTTGACCCATCTTTGCCTTTCATTGTCACCACTAACGCAAGTCAGTATGGGATTGGCGCTGTTCTCTAGCAAGATGACGGCAAGGGCTATAGGCCCATAAAATTTATGTCTAAACGATTGTCGTCTGACAAAGTCGCCAACTCCACGTATGAAAGAGAACTTTATGCCTTAGTCTGTGCGTTGGACACATGGAGGCACCACCTGTTAGGGAGACACTTTACTGTGTACTCAGACCACTCAACCCTAAAGTGGATAAAAACACAGTCTAGACTCTCTGACAAGTTGGTAAGATGGTCTGCATTCATTGACACCTTTGACTTTGAACTCAAGACTATCAAAGGTAAATCTAATGTAGTTGCAGATGCTTTGTCCCGACGCAGTGATTTCTTTGGTGCAATTGTTTCTTACTTGGATGTTGGGAATGACCTGAAAGACCAGATTCACCAAGGATATGCTATTGATCCTATCTGGAAACCAATCATGGATATTCTTGTACGAGATCCGTCCCAACTACCCAACTATAGACTGACTGATGGGTTGTTATTTTTTGATTGACCAAACCGAACAAAGATTGTATATTCCTCATAAGGAAGAGATTAAGAGTCTGTTAATTGGAGAATGTCACGATTCCGAGGGTCATTTTGGTTTCAAGAAAACATATGTTGAAGTCAGAGAACGTTTCGAATGGAAGGGACTTAAAGAAGATATACTAACATATGTTCGTACATGTTTAGTGTGTCAGAGAAACAAACCATCACATGAGAATCCCCTTGGACTTCTTAAGCCATTACCTATACCAAGCGAACCAGGTGAGTGTATCTCAAGTGACTTCATGAGTTTGGTTAAAAGTTGCAATGGTAATAGTCAAGTGATGGTAATTTTGGACCGTTTCTCTAAATACGCTATGTTTTTTCCCTTACCAGCAGAAGCACGTACTGAACTTGTCATTCATAAATTTCAGATGCGATGGGTCACTGAGTATAGGTTTTCTAAATCCATTGTGTCTGATCGAGATGTCAGGTTCACCAGTCTGCCATGGCAAAAGCTGATGGAAGCTTATGGGACACGGATGACCATGTCGTCAGGGAGGCATCCCGAAACGAATGGTCAGACTGAACAGATGAACCGCCTGTGCCAACAACTTTTGCGTATGTATGTTAGACCCGATCAGATTGATTGGGACGAGAACTTACCCAAAATTGCTAGTGCATATAACAACAGTGTCCACACTTCCACTGGACGAACCCCGGATGCACTTCACAAAGGGTGAAAACCTAAACGTCCCATTGATGTACTAAACCGGGACCAGTTCCTTAGGTTGCCCCCAGGGACCCGAGAATATGCAATACTGTTCCAGGAGGACATTCAGAAAGTTAAAGATAATCTAAGGAAAGTTCAACTATGGATAATTGAACAATCCAACAGGCACCGTCGACCGTCTACATTCAAAGAGAGTGATCTGGTTTGGGTAAAATCTAAAAGAGTTTTCATTAGGAGAAGATGTGTCCCAGAAATTGCTTCCTGTCTATTTTGGACCCTGGGAAGTTCTCAAAGTAATTGGGGATGCAGAGGGACCGTCTTATCGAATTGATATTCCCCCTCATCTCAAAACTTACCCTGTCTTTCACGCGTCCAAATTGTTACCGTATATAGAAGGAAATGAGTTTCCACATAGACCTTCTATGATTCCACCAGACATGGATGGCGGATATGAGGTAGACAGAATCATAGAGCATGGTTACTTCTCTACGGGAGGACGTGGACGACCTCAGAAGCAGTTTAAGGTATGTTTTAAGTCTCAGGCACCATCTGAGGACAGATGGTTTAGTAAACGAGAACTAATTGAAACTGCTCCTGATATTGTCGCTGCTTATGAACGAGGGTTAAATTCTTAAATATTTCTGCCGTGGAACTCAAAAATGGGCCGGCAGGAATGCAGTAACCCTGTTTAGAAGTAGCCTGGGGCCCAAAACTTAGCCCCAGGCAACGCAGACCTGAGTTGGTCTGCGCTGGGCTGTGTGACCAAGACATGCCCAGGCCCGAGTCTGTCACGTTTGGCTGTGTGACGGAACGTTGCACACGGGAAATTCAAGGGTCAAAGTCAACTGTAGAGTCAAAGGTACTGCGCCCAGGCCCTTGGTTGGATACACTCACTTTGTGCGCAGGTACCCAGACAAGCATCCAGGTCGGAGGGGATTCGGTTTCAGACCAATCTGGGCCTTAGTTTGCATCGAAATCTGGACGGCTGAGGGTGGTAGCATCCGGGGCCCAGACCCCAAGTCAACGCTACATAAGCACTGACTTTCCTGGCTTTGGCATTCATTCTGTCTTACGTCGATGCTGTCTTCACGCGTTGACGACCACTCTGGCTCGACGCTACGAAGCTGGCTGAGCGAGCGCTGGCTCTGTGCTGGCATTGTGT